GAATATAATTTAATTTCATTCACGTGTTTCATAAACACATAATCCTGTATGGATTACAATCCACCATCAAAATTATGCATTTAATTATTCTGGCTGCTGTGAGAAAAGGCTATAAACGATCCGCCACCTGCAGGATCCTCACATGTGATAGCCTAGTAGCCGGGACAACTTCTTTATGTTTACAGACGTGACGTAATGACGCGCCAGCATGCTCGAATTTCCCGCGAAAACCTACCCGTACCACTCAAATTAGAAAACACTATTATAAGCTAACCGTTGTGAATCGGGCTAAAGTAAGGCGATAGTTTTGAACACTGGCTGCTTATGTACTTGCTCAAATATAGATTTCGGATCATTTTTAACCAAAAAAAGTTACGGACTGCAGCTTTAAATAAACAACAATTTAAAAAAATTATGGCACTTCATATGCCATCAAACCCAGACACGCCTAAGGCCATTTCACAGTATCCTCTCTATGGAAGTTCACACTCTGTAAAGTTCACACCAAAGTGTGCACCATAAAGGCCATCAGCGCGGGACCCTTATTGAGAATGATGGAGGTGAGCTGGGGTCAGAGGCATTAGGCAGTCTGGCTGCTCAGACATAAACAAACACTGCAGTATTAGCGCTTAACGGCCCCGCTCTCAGACCAGCACGCCATTAACCTAGCCTTTGCCTTTTATTCTTAGATGTTTGAGTGCAAATACAGTAAGGCAAACAAAACCCCTTCCCGTGTTCATGAAAAGAAAGTTTGCCTGTTTGATCAGCGCACTGGGTGGTTAGTCTATCGATGAAGGGATACGAATATAAATACTGTTATGGATTTGGCTGCCCAAACACTTGAGTGCTAAAGGTCAACACCAAGAATTCTCTCCATCAATAGACTTAGGCTGTATCACCTGATGCTAATCAACCAGGTCGCCCTAATGGCCCCCTGACCAATAACATTGAGCCAGATTAACTTCTCCAAAAGGTCAGCAGGTCAAAACAATTTTCGTGTTTAAACTGCAGAAGACCTAATAAGTGAAATAAAAACTTCTGTTGTTTGTCCATGCTGGTTCACATGAACTCTGTTTTGAGTGACCTTGGCAGTGCTAATCCCTGAATGTGTGCAGTGTCTCCTCTGGGGTCAGATGACTGTTGTGTCTTTAGGGCTTAATGAATCCAGCCGTCTACAAGGACCCGACCCTTCTCAAGCAACAACACAATGATTCTTTTCACACGTATATCATACAGGCTAGCAGATAAGGGCCTCATGTCAAGTTAGATTTAGGCCTAACTGATGACATAAAACACACATTTTTGAAAACAATTTGCTGAGCCAAAAGACAAATGGTCAACTTTCATTGTCTGAAAAATGTTTAGATATCTGAATGAACTGTTCTGAAACCAAATATAAACAGGCTTGGTCAGAGCCAGACATGATAAGAAACTACCAATATGCAAAATGTAGAAAAAAATTTTTTGTTGCAGTAGGCAATGTCTGGATATTATATTTTAAATAAAAAATGTATACTCAAAAAATGAAATTATTAAAATATGGAACAAAATATAAAATATTTAAATGACAATTATTTTAATATACATATTTGTAATTAAAGGGATAGTACACACACAAAAAAAGAATGATGTCAAATTATTTACTAACCATCATGTTGTTCCAAACCTGTATGATTTTCTGTCTTCCATGGAACACGAAAGAAGATATTTTGAAGAATGTGGTAACCAAACAGTTTTGGTTCCCATTGGATATCAATGAAAACTTGTGTTTGGTAACCAGCATTCTTCAAAATGTCTTGTATTCCACTGAAGACAGATAATCATATAAGTTTGGAACAACATGAGGGTGAGTAAATGATGACAGAAGTTTCATTTTTGTGTGGACAATCCCTTAAAAATAGCTCCAAATTAAAAAAAAAAAAACAAGACATTTTGCGTTATTTCAAAACTCTGACTTGTTGCAAATAGGCCTTAAACCCCCTGGGGTCGAAGCCCGCACTGGTGCGGTCTGTCTCGTA